AAAAAAAAAAAAAGCATAACATAATTAAAGCGCATATACTGTATTAGAACTGCATCGCATATAGTCATTTAATTAAATCGTAGCGGTTGTGAATTCACAATTATTTTTAATAATGAGTTTTAAATGGGTTTAATATATCATGCAGCCTTGGGGAACGGTCTAATAATGTGTTTTATGGATTCTCGGCCGTGAAATGCGCCACTTCCGGTATTTTGCCAGTTAGTCGACGCAGCAGAAAATGAAGTCGAGGATAAAAAAAAAAAAATCAAATAGTCGAATAAAATCGACGAATCGCGACAGCCCTAAATATTATATTATAATATTATATATGCAGTATTATACAAAAAAACGATGTATTGTATTTATAAATGTGGACATTCATAAATGTCATGTAATGGAGGTTTTCATAGCTTTGATAAGTGAAAGTGAAAAGTTAGGTGACATACTCGGAATTAGTGCTCTGCCTTTATCCCATCCAAAGTGCACACACACAGCAGTGAACACACACACAGCAGTGAACACACACACAGCAGTGAACACACACACAGCAGTGAACACACACACAGCAGTGAACACACACACAGCAGTGAACACACACACAGCAGTGAACACACACACAGCAGTGAACACACACACAGCAGTGAACACACACACAGCAGTGAACACACACACAGCAGTGAACACACACACAGCAGTGAACACACACCCGGAGCAGTTAAAGTTTTGAAGAGTCAAAGTTTGGAATGACATAAGGGTGAGTATAAATCAGAAATTTCATTTTGGGTAAACTTATCCATTTAAGACTTTGCAAAGCCTGAACACACTTTACATTTTCTCTCATATTTCCAGGTTTTACAGGGTACCCACATTTTCGTAAATCACAACTCTTAGAGTTCCAAAGCATTTAATGAAAAAGCATTTGACATTATTTCCAAAGTTCATACCTGTCTAAGATGTGAGAGTCTCCAGTTTCAACACACAGCTGGGAGCTCAATGCCTCAAAACGGGAATTCTCTAAAAGCTTCATAGCTGGAAAACACACACACACACACACACACAAACACACTCTTAACGGAAGCCAAGTATCTGTATTTCAGTCTTTGTGCATAACCCGTTACATACAAAATGTATTGATGCAACTAATTGTATCGAGTTAAAATGAAACACAGTAATAGAGATGCCGAAATAGAAACACATAAAAGCACAGTAAACAGCCTAACCAGAATTTTTGTGCAATCATGTAACTGTAACGACAGTTCACCTCACCACAGTCACATTACAGTTACAGTTTCATGAGATGAAATTTAAGCTTGACATGGAAAATTGGGATATAAAAAAGCAGAGTGTATGTGAGTATGTGTTTTCAACAGGAGGCGCAGTGCCTCTCATCGAGTAAAATGTCTGTTTCTGCTTGAGCCGCGTTTCTTCCTGCTCTGACGCTGGGCTGCCCTCCATCAGAAACTAAAACAAAGATGACAAGGCCGCTACTTCTGTGCATGTGTCCGGATCAGGGAGTCGTAGGATATCTCCAAACATCATATTAGCACACAAACCCGGCTGGTACTGGAGTGTCAACACGATACATTCCCGCCTGAAGTAGTCAGTCGGCGGCGGCATGTCGCTGAGCTCAGGCGGGTGGACTCTCACACCTCCGCCGGCCCAGTCTTCATCGTCTCATGTCGGCCAGGAGGCCTCACAGTCGGCCTGCAGCACTGTTCTGATGTCGGTGAAGGTGTCAGTATGCCACTCGGGTATACGACCGCTTTGTCTCCCCGGGGCCGGAGACGATTCTCTCCGTCTACAGCTGAGCATGGACCCGGGGAAGGCAGGGGAATTCCGCCTCGCGTTACGGGACATCAGCGGAACAGCGGCTGGACGCAGCGTGGTGAGGAAATGTCGAACTTGCATTAAGTTTTAGTCTTTGGTGCTTTGAACACTGGTTAAAAGTTGACAAAAAGTGCAACATAGTAGTATTTTCATTCCAGAAGTATCTGCGCTAGTCACAATAGCAGCACTCTGCCTCACATAGAGCACAAGCAAGTGAATCACGTTGTTTTGCTGGTCTTTGTTGATGTCCTCCTCCCCCTAAATTTGATAGTGTGCTGAGAGTTGAGTCACAGATACACTTAATGCTGTTCACGCTACCTAGGCCTATACATATGTTATAAGTTAGTTCACAATAATATTTGTGATCAGCATGGATACGTTGATTTGCTGTAATAGACTGATACATAGAAAGAAAGTGAAACTACCTCTCGCGTGACTCTGTTGATGAACCTCATTATTGTTTGGGGTCCCAGAGGCCCAGGTGAATGTATACCTAAATGTAAAAATAAATATTGCAGCAAGCGGCGATCATCGGGATAAAAGCACAACCCAGTGGGGTTGTGTTGAAAAGACATCAAAATTGACATAAAAAACAGGTCAAACATGCGAATCAAACTGATGCCCAAAACTTGACATGGAGTTGATTTGATGTAAATTGAACGTCAAACATTGGCCTACATATAAATTAAACCAGTTTCAGTGTGGGGTTAACTTCCTATTTTCACCCAATTACCACTTGAATGACTAATATTGTATTTATCTATTTATTTTAAAGATTTGATTTGGGCGTTTTTGCCTTTATTTAGATGGGACAATTTAACGACAGGAAGTGAGAGAGGGCGCGGGATCGGGAAGGGTCGGCGAGCCGGATTTGAAGTCGGGACGACCCTGTCGGCGCACAAGGCTATAGGCGCGCCATCCAGGACTATTATTTGAAGTGTGCCGCTGTGAAACTCCTAGTGTAGAGGATACAGTTATGTTACAATGGCCATGTCTCTTTTCAAACATAATCTTTCTATGGAAGTCTTATTTTATGTTCCATATTACAATAGACAAATTGTCTCTTCATTTGAACTGGACTGCAATATATGCAGTCAAGTCTGACAACTTGACAAATGTTTTCTGAATTCAGGATATATAGATATTAAGGTATTTTGGAGACCACATATTTCTTTGGAAACTGATTAGACTTAGATTGTTTTAGCCTTTATTAAACTTTATGAAACTATAGTGAATAGGGTTGGGCCGATAGACGATGCCATCGTCCATGATGGCTGACAGACATCGCGATGTTAAGCTGACTCTGCCGCAATCCGCCGCATCCCAGTTCCGTGTTCGGAAAGGAAATTAAGTGTACTACGGATACCCTAAAGGGAATAAATAGCCTACGAGATGGGAGGATAAACAAAATATTTCAATACTTTTTCTTGCAATTATATCGTTAGGTAAGTATAGGCGACTGTATGTAAATTGCGGGCATCAGGGAGAAACCGCTTTCGATTGTGCGCTCTCATTTTACTTTAACTTTAACTTTTGAGATTCGCGATCACAAGGACTCTATACTATGGAGCGGCAGTACTTACCACACATTTGACAAGATTAGATGTTTGTCATTGGAGCTCAGGATCTGCAAATCATTCGCCATCGTCCTATCAGACATTTCTCCTTACTCTGTGTATGTGGTAAGTGAACTTTCATGTACTGTAATGCAACAGGCTACCGCTAGCAAGCATCTAACCTTTTAGTGGCTCCATATAACACGTTATTTGTTTCACGCTTCGGGCACACCCCTAATGTTTCACTGTAGACATCGTCCGATGCCAATTTGGTAGACATCGCCCAACCCTAATAGTGAATGTACTGCATAGTTAAAGGAAGGGTAGGTGGTTTGGTTCAGAATTTATTTTTGTTATGATGTTTGAAAGTCTCTTCACATCCCGATAGCAATCACTAAGTTAAGTGGTCTAAATTTATTTATATGTATTTATATAATCTGTGGAAGGCGTAGGACCATAAAATGTCCGTCCAATCAAAATGTTCGGTCCGAAGATTACGATAGGCTGTCCCCCCTGCCAGTCAAAATATGTATTTTGCATACCTCAGACATGATACGTCATCAGCGTGTTCCGGTGACAATGAAAGATATTATTACAGTACAAAGCACGTAATATTACAATGTTTCTTACCGATGAATGAGAAGTGAGGTCATCTGACAGCGTTACATTCAACCCTCCACCAATGCGGTGTCTCATCGTGTCGCTGGTTAGCCTCTGGTCTGCCTGTGAGCTTTCATGGGCTTTGAAGAGGGATTATGCAGGGAGGGTGGGGATTTTGCTTTCAAAGCTAGATTGCTATTGCTAGCCTTTCCAAAATCACATAACCTACCTTGAATCTATTGAACCATTTACACAGATTTTAAACTGTGATCTAAAAGAATTTGTTGTTTTGTGCCTCCCTCTGGTGGACAACATTAGTATTACGGCCTTCATCTCTCATTTCCATTGATATTAATGACTGACATTTTATAAATTGCTGTAAGCACCCAGGGCATCTGAGTATTGGGGGAGATTTGGGACCATCCTGCCAAATTTGGTGTTTCTAGGACTTACGGTTTTGGCTGGCCAGACACTTTTAGGGCAGAAAAAGAATAATAAGAAGGAGAATATAGCTGCAAGTGCAAGCAGTAATTACCGGGGTTCAAGTGTTTTAAGACCTTTGAGCAATTATAGACATTTGAAGATGATTCTACCCAGAAAGCCTGAAAATTAATAAATAAAATCACTAGAAATATTATTTAATGATTCATCAATTTTGACCAAACAGGTAGCGCTGCTCCCAAATTAATGTGGTCTGGTGAACTAGGTGTGATGATGACACGCATAGTTTTTGGTGCCAATATACCAAAGAATTGTAGAGAAACATTCTTAGATCCATTTTGGCATTTCTCCTGAGCACTAGGTGGCACTGTGTCAAAACTTTGCAGGTAACCTCAGGACATGTTTGTCATAACAAATTCCAAGTTTGGTTTGAATCCGATAAAGCACTGAGGAGATATATGCCTTGTCCAAATACCCACACATGCAGTCTTTGCACTTGACCATTTTGATTACTTATATTACATATTTCCTGTTTTTGGTTCAAGTGAGCATGAAGACCACAAGTGTGTGTAGAACTTTTCATTACCTGATGGGACACACTTATAGTATTGTAAATATGCAAGTGTTTACAAAGCTTTATTTTTATTTTCAATACTTTGCATTTTAAAATCAACTTCTAAATGTCTGTTCAGTGGTCACTATAACAGATGACACAATTTAATTTTGTGGTACTTCTAATTAAGTGATAAAATGCAGTTGCAAATATTGTACAAATGAAATATCACCACTACTCATTTGCAACAATAAAACGTGCAATGTGTTTTACTACCAACTTGTAATATCTAATTATTAATATTTAACATGCATTGGAAAGGTTTCCGTGACCTCTCGCGAGATCTCGGCAAAAAGTCAAGATTTATTTTCAGAACATTATGTATGATGGTAATATACACTAAGCCTCAAATACCACTCCGGAGCTGTATTCGAGATGGTGTGGATTTAGTGTGCGTTAAGGGCACTGCGCTTTGGCATTTTTAAGACCTTGGACAGTTTTGCGCACTTACTTCCTGTCGCGCGCACACGCTCTCAAGTAGCCAAGACCGTGAGTGTGGGTATTTGGACAAGGCAATAGCCTCATGTCCACTTTGGCGAGCTTTTCGTCAAATTCATTCATGCGTTATTCAAGAACAGTTGGGTAGGCCTGTCGCAAATAATCAATATATCGCGCAATATATGTACATGACCTCAATATTTTTTGGTGACGCAATATATCGCCCATTATATTTACTTAAAAATTACTGTCACCATGTTTTGTACATTCCACTTGCGCCTGTGTCTTTTGCAGCTTCTCGTACATGATGTGGTGTAGTCATGAGGTGCTACTGCTAGTTCAAATTTAAAAAATGCTTCTACAAAAAAAAGTTTAATCTGCAGATATGGTCTTGTTTAGGGATCTGTGCCTTTGTGCATACGGACATCTGACTGCTAAGTAGTGATTGTGTTTTTCAGCAATAGTGTGCACCCTTAATTTACAGAGAAAAGAAGGTCCGGGAAAAATCTTTATTCAAGTTCTTTGTGCATTTTTCTTTTTTTCTACTTGTTACTTTGCACTTTTTGTTAGAAAATGTTTATTTACTATTTATTCAGGGTTTTAAGGTATCTAATATTTTGATACTTAATTTCCATGATCTAAATATTCTTAAAAATTAAAAGTTTGTTGTCATTTGGAAGTGTGTGGGCCTTCTTGCATTATGATGATGTTACTTTATGATTATATATTCAGTCTTTAAAATGACAATAATATCGCTTATCGCAATTATTTCTGGGCCAATATATCGCACAACAAAAAGTTGTTATCGTGACAGGCCTACGGTTTGGTATATCAAAAAGCTTTTGATAACTTTTAGTTAGGACCATCTGAAGATGGTCTGTATCAATTTTGGTGAAAACCGGACGAACCTTCTAGGGCAAGTTTGAAAAAGTAGCTTTTTTACATAATGTCAAATATTTAATGAACTGTTTGATTGACAGCAGTGGTTCTAAAGGTAAAGTTGTTCAGAATGAGGAAATCTAACATATGATATGAATAATGTGTGTAGGTGTGAAACACTGTGTGATATAGAATGCGTAAAACCTGATATCACCTTCTAGTGGCTGATTTCTTTCAAATTTCTCAGACCTCTAGGAAAATGAGTCAAACAAGGTCCATCGAGTTTTGTTACGATCGGCCTCCGTTAACCTTGTCTAATGGGTTCTCAAAATTAAATGGCCGATGGCGGCCATGTTTTTCGAGATACGCCAATGCCCTCATAGATGTCAATGGCACCTTGAAAAAAGACACTGTGTGCCAAATTTAAAGTCAATCAGATTAACAGTTGCATAGTTACAGCCATTTTCATGTTTTTTCCCTGTTACAGTGCCACCAATTGCTAAGACTTCCCAATTTGTTTAATTTGTTCAAAGATTGAGCTAATTCATATGTGTTCTGAGTTTGGTGAAAATATCTCATTCCATTCAAGAGTTATAGCCATTTTAGTAAAAGTGGCCCTGCCTACTTTGAATGTTTTGGCATCCTGTCGCAAGTGTGAATCACAGATCGAAATGTTTTTGATAACTTTTTGCCATGAGGGTCTCTAGATGATGCATGTCAAGTTTTGAGTGAATCGGACAAGTGGCCTTTGAGGAGTTCGAAAAAGTCGATTTTTCAGAAAATCCAAAATGGTAGGAAAATTTTAATGACGAAAATGAAATCTGAGAAAGCAGGGTGTCCTTAAAAAGTCTTAAATAACGTTTTCCTAATATAAGGCCTTAAAAAGTATTAAAATGTCTTAAATTCTTAAATATTTTTGGTCTCATTACCGCTAAAATATCTTCAGTCTGACGGACCTAATGACTTTACAATCATTGGACAGACCGACCCGTGGTAAGTTACTGCGTCATCAGAGAGAACTGCAGTAAGTTAGCAGAATACAGAATACAAGCTCACGCTGTTTGTCTCGAGACTTCAGAACAAATAAACTCAGAAGAAACACACTGAGGTAAAAATTCAAAATGTTTAGTTTATTCATAACATGATATAGTTAAATAAAACCCTTCAAAACACCTAACTTACAGAGTGCACACATTACGTGAAGTCTAGTGCGCGTGCGCATTTACAGTGCGCTCTTTTATGGCATGATTCGGTCTATTAAAATACATTCAGAATGATCACAAATTCAAGACATGGGGGCAGAAAATGTGTATATTTATACCACTACATATAGTTAATCAAGTTCACACGGAAGAGTGCTTTTTTTCTCTCCAAAAATTACCATATACAAATGTGATTTTTTTTTTTGACAACAGTTCAATAAACTATAAGTTTTATTAAGAGACTTACGTTTTAGACACCATATTGCCTGTTTTTGCACTATTTCGCCAACAAAAATAATTCCAAACAAAGCCACAGCACAGTTTTGTGTCTCTGAGCAATATGACGGTGTCTCGTTCTTGAATGAATCAACCGTTTAAATGATTCGGTTCAGTCGCAATGACTCACTTCACAGTGACTTACTGACACCTACTGGCGCTTTTAATTTCACATTTAAAGTATCTTTTCATTTTGTAAATTATTTCAAATATCAGTATTCAACCACCACACAGAATATGAAGAATATCAAAAACTTTAGGAGTGAGCTGTCCATGAAAGTTCTTAAGATATTAGCACAATAACACTCTTAATCAGTTGAATGAATGACTCGATGACTCACTCGTTCAGTGACTTACCGTCACTTACTGGTAGTTCAGTTGAGAAGTATGTTGAAAAGTATGCATTTTTCCCCTCAACATTTCTTATTTGTATATTCATAAATGCATTTAAAACATTAATCTCATAACATTATTTATTGCAGTTGTAATTATTGTTATTTGCAGTGTAAATTATTTAATCTGACTGGTAGCAGCCCTATAGTGTATATTGAATTTATTGATAAATTGTAATAATTTGACATGTAAGATGATGCATACATCTAAAAAGGTTAAAAATATGCCTTTGTAAAGGTAAATATGCAGATTTAAGTATGTAAAAGCTGATAAAACACTGATGAAAATATTGCTTCAGAATAAATTTACTCCACCAAAAATCTCAGTGATGCAGTTATTTTGCGTGGATATTTTGTATGGAATATTGTCTGCTGATATGAAAAGTTCACTGTATATCGTAGTAATAAATAGAATTTATTACAGCAATGATATTTTGTTTTCTTTTTAATTTATACACATTAAATATTGCATATATGCATGTATGTAATAAAATGTGTATTTCCATTACAGGTTTAGGTCTTAAATTTCATATAAGGTGGTATTAAAAAGGTCTTAAAAAGTCTTAAATTTAACTTGTTCATATCTGCAGAAACCCTGGAAAGCCATTTTGTTTGTCTTGAGCCAGGGATTCCAGTAATATAAGACACTTGACTCTACAGCAAACGTTCCATGTGTTCAATCACTGTAGCGCTCCCTATTGTCCAATCGGGGCCATACCTTGTCGATGTCTCCCCATATTCTCTTCGCGCTTGAACCACTAATAATAAAAATCCTTACAATTACAATAGGGTTTCAGCGCTTCGTGCTTGAACCCCTAAAAATCTGTACAAATACAATAGAGTTCCGGCACCTTCGGTACTTGGACCCCTAATAAAAATTTCAACTTATTTCATTTCAAATATGTTTAATATTTACTTCTTTATCCTTTTGTTTTGCAACAAAGTAGACATGCACTTTCAAAAATGTGGTTGTTGTCTAGGATTGTATTATTTGGGCACATTATGACCGATTATGTATCCAGAGGTAGTGCAAGATTTGTAGCAAGTGAATATTCATACAGACCCAGGGTCTTTGAGATCCCAAACAGAAATAATATAAAATTATATTATTCCACATTTGAGTCCTGCTATCATTTTGAAATCTCATTACACTCACACTCCTGATAATGTTGTTTTGAAAAGATAGCTCTTGTGTACACAATGATGAATATAATCAGATGAAAAAATAACAACAATTTAATGAAAATATCTGATAGCTCATAATACTGAAAAAAGTAGTTAGATGATAAAAAAGTTAGTAGATGGTAAGTTTTAAATAGGCTAGGTCATTTATTTGCTTGTGAGAAATTGATATTTCCTGGACTGTATTATTTTAGTAGTGAAATCACTGAATTATGTTAAAGTAAATTAACTCCATTAGTTTTTGTGTCTCTCTGTTTATTTTCATTTAGTCTGTTGCTGAGTTCGACCTCAAGACTGTTTTCTATGAAGTCAAGTCCCCACAGTGCCATGAACTGAGTTTGGCAACACCACCACACGATCGTATCACTTTCAACTTCCGCTGTGAGCAGGAAGCACAGGAGTGGGCCACTGTGGTGATGTCATCACTCCGTGAGGCACACAGAGGTTTGGCCTCCTTCTTCTTTCATCCAGCAGTTTGTCACTTTTGTTCATTCATTCATTTATAAATCCGGGTACACACTGGACAATTTAAAATAGTCTATTACAATTGTTGCTTATCAGACTGTACAAAACATGATGTTACACTGGCGTCTCAATTGTCATTAATTCAGACTGTACGACCAGGGCCGCATTAAGACAGCACTGGGCCCCGGGGCTATTACTTACTGCAGGGCCCCCCAGGCCCAGCTTAAGAAAAAATGTGCCATTCACTGTGCCTAAAATGTATAATTGCAGAAAAAATATATACGTTATATTGAACATTAAAGGAGCAACAGATTTTGTGTGAAAATAAACCATTCAAGTTGTTTATTTTGTTTAAAAATCGTATAAATGTATGAGGTGGCAAGAGGGCTCACCAGCATGGGGTAAAAGGCACACGGTATTTATACAAATACTTCAGCTAAAATAATGTTGTTGTTTTTTTTAAATAATGTCTAAGTTAATACTTGTTCAGAACAATCACTTTAGCAAAGTTTGTACTATTTTCCGCTTATTTTGAAAAAAATAAAAGTTTTTTTTTTTTTCAAATAAATATGCTGTCATTAAAATGTGTTAATATAAAATATATATATTTTAAAATACAGAAACAAAATCGTTTTAATAAGTAAAGATTCTGAAAGTATTGAAGGAGATCCAATAATAATTGAATATATATTTACAGTAGTAACAGCAAATTATATTTTATTATATGACATGATTAATATCATGTTTTTAAATATGATGGTTTCATTTCAAACATGGTGATTATCTCTAATATGGACACCCAAAATAATATATTTACCATCTGAATCTAACCATGTCATGTCAACAAATGGCAAAGTCAGCCATCTATTAATTATCATGTTAATTACTGTGCGCCTTTAGCCCCAACAGCAAGGGGCTAAAATACCATACTTTTACATATCATTTCGTCATTTAAAAACTGTTGCTTTAATTATCTAAAACAAAACTGAAAATCATAAAGAAGAACTTTCTCTCAAAATATATGCATTCATTTTAGCGATTCTCATTTGCTACTTAAATCTACAACATTTTTAAAAACAAAATATTAGATAAAGTAAGCACAGAATCAGCTTTGCACTGCTGCGTGCGATCGTGTCAAAGATCAGACAAATATACAGGTGCATCTTGAAAAAAGGATGTTTATATATATATATATATATTTCTTTTTTCTTATATATATATATTGCACTGAAATTTCATAATTTTTGTTACCAATTTCAATATCAATAAAAAATAATACTAGCCTAAGTAAAAGTAAGCTTACTGAAGACAAGTAAACAGTCACAAATTAGGCTACAACAGAACAAAGATCATAAAAAACGACCTACTTGAAAAACTTAAAAGCACTGAATAATAAATATATTGTATAAAGAAAATGTGCAAATAGACTGAATAGTCTTCACTGTATAAATTCAATATACATTCATTATTTATTTTACAAAGGTGATTCAGTCAAGGACAGTAAGTTATTTTCTTTCTGATGTTTGATTCACATTATTGACACAAATGGTAACAGCAGCTATATTAGGCTGCATTATAGTTCACCCAAAAATGAAAATTCTGTTGATGTTCTAAACCAGTATGAGATTCCTTCATGCTGTTGAACACAAAATAATATATTTGGAACAATATTGGTAACCAAACAGTTGCTGGGCCCTCACTACTTCCATATATGAGAAGAAGAAAAAAAAGAAAAAAAAACACTATTGGAGTCAGTTGGGACCAGAAACTGGTTACGATCATTCTTCAAAATATCTTCTTTTATGTTGAGGAGAAAAAGGAAATTCATAGAGGTTTAGAACAATTTGAGGGTAAGTATATGATGACAGTATCTTCA